GAAGGGCCCTTAGAACATGGAATGTCAGACCTGGGAAGGCCCTTAGAACAGGGAATGTCAAAGCTGGGAGGGCCCTTAGAACATGGAATATTAGAGCTGGGAGGGACTTCAGAACATAGAATATCAGAGCTGGGAGGGCCCTTAGAATGTCAGAGGTAGGTAAGAACCTGGAACCCAGGATGTTAAGAACAAAGAATGAAAGGTCAGGTAGAAGGGACCTTGGAAATCACCTCCTCTCAGAGTTCAGGAACTTAGAATCCATGCCCAGAGAAGGGGCTGTCCCTAGGGCCTGCAGAGCCAGGACCAGTCTCCAGCTTTCTTCTCCCTCTATTTCATCTCTCTAAGACCCAGTGATGGGGGCTAGGGAGATGAAGGGAGGGGGCAGGGCTTCCCTCATCTCTGCTTCTGGTCCTGCCTCACCCAGGGCTGACCCCCCTGCATGTCGCTGTAAACACAGAAGACAGAGAAACTGTGCTGCTGCTGTTGGACCGAGGAGCCGACATCGATGCTGTGGTGAGTGGCACAGGAGGCAGGGGAGGGGAGGGTCCAACTGCCAGCCCCTTCCCCAAGTTGGCAGGGTCTTGGGAGGGGGCTCCCTAGGGCGGCTGAGCCCCAGAGCCCAGGGCAAGGAGAGGTCTGAAGAGTGGACTGGACGCAGCAGGCCGCAGGGCATCCAGTGCCTCTCCTCTCTCCTCTTCCCTGCCCAGGACATCAAGAGTGGCCGCTCCCCACTCATCCACGCAGTGGAAAACAACAGCCTGGCCATGGTGCAGCTACTGCTGCAGGTGAGACAGAGACCTGGCTGCCCCCAAACCTGGGCCTCCTTTGTCCCCTTCACTACAATCTAACACGATGATTAAGCATCTGCTAATTACAAAGCTCTGTGCTTGTTGCTAGGGGTATGGAGTTAACAAGAAGCAGGCCCTGCCCTCAGGAGCTTCCATTCTACCCGTATAAGAACAAGGACATGAGCTTTATATACATTATTCCCACCCCAGTATTGCACCTGTCTCCCTTCTCTGTACCCATCTCCAGTCTCTGGCCCCCATCTGTCCCCCAGGGTCTCTGGCCCCTTTCCCCA